GTGGTTGGACGACAGACGTTCTTTTAACAGATGTCAGATCGTTCACCACCAGTTCTGGCACTCGTTGCCGTCGTTGGCACTCGGAGTTTGGACGCCTACCTTATACACCCATCAACGCCTTTCTTTTGCTTTCCAGGTAGTCGAGAAAGTGTTTTTAATGCCAACGAACTGAAAGACATCTGACCAGCTACTACGATTTTACCTAATGGACCGTACTCTCGTTTGACGTGTTTGTAAAATTCATCATCTTTACAGTGTATAGTGATCTTTTCCAGCATCTCATTGTGGTAGACTCATATCGATGGTCGAAGTGCCAGATATGGAGTCGAGCATGAGTTCCGTTGAAATGATCCGATGGTCAAATTACGTGGTCAGTGGTGAAGTCAGAAAGCTGATAATAAACAGCTTTGTAGCAGCATCTAATTACATTCATTGATAATGAGGATAAGTCGGACAACGGAATTCATGAGGGCGCGACGGCTCTGAGTTCACAGCAAGATACGCAAGAATATTTTCCGTAAAGGCGATATGCTCCTGTAGGAAAATTTCGGTTTGTCGCTTAATACTGCTTACTGGGCTGGAAAAAATGCCTACAGACTTGTTGAAGAGTGTACTTCGCTCTTTTTGGTTGGTTTATGTCAGGATCGTTGTTATTAAGCATCGCTTTGTATCTGTTTGTGTTTTTAGCCGCAGCCTCAGGTATCACGTGGCCGGCAACCGCTGATGATATCAAAGATCGACGGCAGAGCAAATTTTCGTTAGGTAACTACTTGTCAGCATGAGAACAGGCGTGCAGCTGAGTTTCATCATGATCGGTAGGTGCCAAGAATACGACATATTGGTAAATTTATTTTTTGAATAGTTATAATCGTGTCTTCCAAAATGCGTTTCAAAGGATGCAGGTAGTTTTCTTAAAGTTATCGTTTATGCACCCTTATTAAATGTTGATATGCCTTTAATTTCATTAACTAGCTATAACAGCTGTTGGCTCGGAAATAAGATATGCAGTTATCCTGTATCTCAAAGTTGTGAGCTATTTGTAGGATGGGGTCAAATGTGAGGGTCTAATTATCTCCCTGTTTACACGACACGTCATAGTTGAAATTGGATCGGTTATAAGGTCTAATGATATTCAAGTTGCACTGAGACTACATGCGTGGAAAAGAATGCCTAGAGCATGAATTACAAATTACAGAGAATAATGACTCAGTAAGTTCAGAGATGAAATCATGTTTACAAGTACGTAGGTTTCACTTCACCGGATTTACACAGATAATCGCATCGCCTCTTTGCTCGTAGTTACGCATTGTATGCGCCTTTTAAACAAGCCACCTGTCCGTGCTGTTATGGCACCTGCATTGTATGTATTCAAAATCACATCATGCAGTAACCTATTCGAAGCTCCGCTTTGGTAGTTAGTTTCTTGCCCAACTACGTAATTTGCCATTCAGACTTTTAATCACACCGTAGCGACATGGATTGAAGTCAATTCGCCTTTAGGTTAATCGGATTTAACACAAGCCTACCTTTAAATTAAGTGTCTATGTTGTCTTGAGTAAGTTCAGGTTTACAACTTGATTTTATGCTAAGTCCGTCCTACCTCAGTATTTCCAATTCCTCAAAGCAAATCGATGCACACTCTCAACTCATAGGCTTTGGCAGGTTTAACTGTGAGTCATGGTAGTTTGAGAAATGTACTTTGGCGATATGCGGAGGCAACGGTCGCCAAACCACATCGCTAGCGTTGTAATCGCTCCATGCGATACACTGAAATAAATTTCCTTTTCAATCCAAGTCTGTAGTTTATCGTTTCTATCACATTACTGTTGTTGCCTCGGCGTACTTCCTACGTGTTTTTCAAGAACTGAAGGGTTCCGCAGTGACGAGCAGTCAATCAGAATAGGTTTAAAGAATGTTTACGTGAGTTACTCTAACCGCCTAAGTACTCTGTCGAAACAGTGATCGTTTATTGCACAGCCGAACGTCATTCTTGCTACTTCCTTTACTGTTGTTTATTTTGTAAACACTCCTGGAAGGGAGATACCGTCAGCACTAAGAGAATCTGAACCGAACGGTAAGCCAGTTTGCACCGCTGAATTGTTTCCTCAAGTAGACTTCCGTTACTGATTGTACTTCAGATCAGGTCTGCTTGTACAGAGATGTGGCTTCGAAGGATATTCTCAAGGGTCGTAAGTCAGGGCCATACCAGCCTCGCTTAAACCGATGTACCAAAGTGGAAGTCGTAGCTGATGTAGCATCTAGTTTTTCAGCGTTTCCTCTTTCTTCTACACTCAAACGTCAAGAGGGAAAACTTCATTTAATTTTGTAAGCAGACTGATTGCTGAAGTGAATATTACTCAGATAGCTCCAAAACGTATGATATAGAAGAAGTCTACCTGCTAACTTTGGAAGACAACGTTGTGCTAACGTCCGTTACCTTAATTTGTTTTTCAGCAGTCGTCTTTTGCTGGATAACGCATGCCGGATTTGTACCAACAGTAGAGAGGAAGTTCGCGTGCGATGACCCGAGCATTTCTCTACCTTTGAAGCCAAACACGGTTTCTCTGTCCCTGTTGCTGACCGTATGCATCTGTTTTCCACTGACGACGATCGTCTGCATCGAATACTCGTTATGTCGGCGTTCAAAGCTCAAGAACAAGCACGCGGTATTCTTCGACGTTGTGTCACAGGTGGTACGGGAGTTCTTCTTTGGTCTATTTTTGGTCATCGCTGTGATGCTAGCCGCCAAGGCCGCTGTCGGCAGACTGCGCCCTCATTTCCTCAGTGTCTGTCGTCCGAACATCAGCAGCGGTCAGTGTCGTAATGGCCTCATCCTGTCCCCGGCCAACTGCAACGCCGCCAGCGGCCATGCCCTCAAGACTGCTCGTGAGAGCTTCCCTTCTGGTCACGCTGCCGTATCTGTCTACGCGTTTATGTTCCTCATGTTCTACTGCAGAAGCAAGTGCAAGTTTCTTATTTCTCACAAGTTCCTAGCCATTACATTAGTCGCGATTGACATCGCATGGACAGCTACTTGCTGCATCACACGTGTCACGGATCACTGGCACCACACCACCGACGTAGTTGCCGGCTGCATAATCGGCGTCGCCAGTTTATCTGCGATGCTTCTTAGAAAAAATCCTATGATTTTTGTGCAAAACAATAATTACGTCTTTTCAGATATCGCTTCAATGTAATTGATCCCTTGATTATTAAAAAGTAAAATTTTCATTGTATTGCTTACGTATTATTGCCGATTTCATTTTTTACACATCTCACTTTTTGTCTACATGTGACGTAAGGTGGTATTTACCTTTTTTCGTAGATGAGCCTGCAGCGATCCTGTAGGAAAATCATATGCATCGCCAGAAACTACAGGTAAAGATACGTATATGTTGATGACTGGAATAATACTAGCAAGCTTTTTAATGAGATGCCTAACTGACCTGTATATGCAAAATTTAATTTGCACGTCTATTATACTTTCTTATCATATACCAACGAAATCTTGGCTTGATTTCATGCGAAAAGAATATATTTTATATACGGGAAATGCACGTGCTATACTAAGAGGCAAAGATCTTCAAAAGTTGAGCAAGTGGCAGTTTCCGCACGTATTCTTAAGTGGCGGTGAAGAGTTGTAGCATAGTGAATTAGTGGTTTCTTGTCTAATGTTGCCTAGAACCATGGATTGAGAACCACAGATCATTAACAATGAGTGATTTGGGCATTAAGAAGTGGTGGTCTGAAATTAATTTGTCCTTATTAGACTTTGTAAATTCAAAGTTTAAGCTGGAAAGATAACGTTTATTAATTTTCAGAGATCACGCGGCCGAACTGAAAAATCCGGTACCTGAAACTCCAGTTTTATTTATAAAGCCATCGTCGGCAATAATCGAGGAACGCGAAAACATCAAGGTTAAAATTGAACGAACAAAGCGACTACTCTGCGTTTAATTACTTAATTGTAAACTAGATTCCTGAGGGCTGCCAGAATCTGCAGCAAGAAGTGGAGCTTGGCGTGGTCATCGGCAAAAAAGCAACTAGACTCTCAAGCGAGCAGGCGCATACAGTAATTGGCGGTTACATACTCGCTTTGGACATGACCGCAAGGGATTTTCAGGTAAACTGCTCAACCATAGACGTTCTGCATGTCATCTAAATCCCGACGTGAACATTAGGTAATCATAGACAGAAGCAAAACAGACAGGAAATCCATGGCTCCTTGCCAAAGGTTTCGATACCAGTTGTCCGATTTCCCGATTGGTTTCCAAAAGTGAAATGACTAGTCATGACGATGCCACAGTTCCACATGATCTTCATCTGTGGTGCCGAATCAATGGAGAGCTGAAGCAGGATGGTCGCACAAGCCAGATGATATTTCCGATCCCAACTCTAATCGAGTACATTACCAAGTATATCACTTTAGAGCCGGGTGACCTTCTGCTGACAGGAACGCCGGCAGGAGTGACCACTGTCCACGCAGGAGACGTAATCGAATGCGGCATTACGAATATTGTTAAAATGCAATTCTCCGTTAGCGATGGACGAAGTCAAAACAAATGACCCGATCATGATTTATTTTATTAAAATTCAATGAAGAAATCGTCGTTTAAAAAGAACTGCGTCGACGAGCTGTTATAATATATCAGTACACGTGTACTATTAAAACAAAACAACAGATGTAAAAACAAGCTGAGCAGAGTGGACTAATTAGATTAAAAGCAAACGTTTTTAAGTTAGACAAGTTTAGTTAAACAATAATTTTACATAATTTATTTAACCGTGACATAACATATCAGTGTCTCTCGTTTTCCTCACACACACGCACAGACCACGCATGAAGTCCATTTCAGAACAATTACACTACTGTTGTGGCTGCTGCCCCTGCCAGTAACTAAAGGAGTCAGGTTAGCACCGGATACAATGCCTTTGACAGCATTTACCCTTGCCACTGTTGTTGATACATTGCAGGGTTTGCATAATAATTTGCATAATACTGATTCCAGTAGTTAGCGGGATTGGTGTAGTTACCGTAGCCATAACCATAACCATAACTGGACATCGCTCCACCGCCGCCAACCTGAAAAACAAACAACGCGTTGAGCATTCGCCCGATATTGACCATAGTACAGAGACGCACGCTGACTGCGCCGCCGCCTTCCTTGCCCCATGAACATCGCACAGTTGCACCGTTTATATCTGAGCCGGTGATGTTCATGATGGCGTGGGCGGCCGACTCCTTGTTGTCGAAACGAACGAACGCGTAGCCCTGTTGTTTGAACACCCTGATTTCCATGATTGTGCCAAACTTTGCGAATACTTTTCGCATATCATCCTCTGAAATAGCTAAGCGGCACAATTAAACCTGTCCGATCGTCAGGAAGCCATCCAACCTGTTGTTGTTGGCGTCACGCCGCCGATGTAGACAGTCATGTTCTGCGGACTAGACTGCGCCATAACATCTTCGAAAGTTACCTGACCTATGAAACGAGACAACGGCAAATCAATTTGCAGCCGAAAGCAAAGAGTGGCATTTACCTGGCATTCCAGGCTTTCGGGTAGCCCAGTTCGTCCGAATGGTTCGCCTGCCAAGCCATTGACCATTCATCTGCTCGATTGCACGTTCTGCATCCTACAACATAAATTAACAGCCATACAGAGGTCGGTTTCATGGCAACCATGGCGACGATGCTGAAACGTACCTCGCGCTGAACGAATGACACAAAGCCGTAACCCTTAGACTTTAATGTCTGCAGATCACGAATCACTTTCACATCTCTAAAGAGATAATACATAATCATTACGTGGTCGCAATCGAATATCACTAATTCCAATACTTACGATATTTCCCCAAAAGGTGCGAAGGCATCTCGAAGCGTCTTATTGTCAATCTCTGGGCTTAAATCACCGACGAACACATGGAAATGCTCTAAAAAATCAAACTTTTTAAAGTATGTCAAAATATAAGAACTAGTTGTGCGGGACAAAAAATGCAGACGTTAACATTTCATTGATAATGCAATTTGTCAGCAACTCTAGCATCCGTCAGAGCCCAAGTGACATGCAGGCGGCAAGCCGCCACAATTTAAGATGAGCGGAAGATTAAAGTACTACATGTGACTCAAACTATTAATTTTAGTTCAATCTCAGGCACTTATTATGTGTTATCTTATAAAGTTAGCGATAACAAGTCAGTTTTCACTTATCACTGCGGAAGAAGCATAGTCATTATACACAATGATTCATCATAAAATACGTAGATTCGATTATCAAAGGTTCAATCCTTGACTGCTGCTTGTCGATAACAGATACATTCGGTCTGACTGAAGGAGTGCCCACCAAAAAGGACGCGTAGCGGAATACCAGAGTCAGCAGGTTCGGCTGCAGATAAATGTTTATCCATTCGGCATTAAATCAACAATAAATTTTCCAACGAAAATCTTATCTCAGTTCAAGGATGTTTAACCAAATTAAACTCTTCCGAGTTACCTGGGATATACTTCCTGAGTAGAAGCATCCACAGTCGGGCTTGAAGTAGACCTATAAATTCCATGCGTTGAAGCATTTTCCGAGGGTGGCACAAAAGCACGAGGTTCTTACGCAAAATTATCATCTTTCTGTTCTGACAAGCATGCAAGAATTATCAATTTAAAGTCGAGCAGTTGGTTAAGTGCACTGACAGTAAGAAAAAAAACATAAAAACGGTTTATTTAAAAACACTGCAAACAATATGGTCAATCGGATGATTAACTAGTACCGACGTTTTGGTTCGTGTGTCTGGGTGAACAGGGCTAATTTATACGGCTGGCTCCATGATCCGCAGCAGTAGTGGCGTTTGAAGCTAAAAGGGTTACAACAGCTACGGATAAGAGAACCATGTAAACGGCAAAGAAGCCCTGAGAGGCACGGACCGAAATACTGGTTAATCATCCGATTGACAAATTTACTTAGGCTGGGTATGAACAGATCGCATTTTGTTAAGCTTTCAGGGTTAAAAAAAGCTGCAAAGAATTTCGACTGGATATTAGATATACATTAGCGCCGTGAAAAAAGGAATTATTAAATATACAAGATAAACATTCGACGGGTTATAAAACTGGTATTGCTCTGATGTAGATATTCTTGAATGTTATAACGGCCATATTTCACACCCGTCATCCTTCCACTGCTGTTGGCAATATAGCGATTTCAAACATGCATGCATTATCCCAAAGTACGTAAACCACCTGAACGCCAGGTAAAGACTCTACGTTTTCAGTCAAAGAGCTCAAATTTTCGAAAGAATCAAACTCTACAAATACTCAATAACCTAAAAGCATCTAGAGTCTTAGAATATTTTGCATCAGTTGGTCTATATTTAATCAGCGTATTCGTCATTAGAACTCATAAGCACTTCTTTGCATCCGCGTGGCACTGAAACGAGAGAATTTAAAAATTCTACATCATCACCAATGCTGTTTCAGTCAAGCTACTAATAATAAAATCAGCTGCAGAAGAAAACTACTTTTTGCGGTGTTAAAAAACGTATTAATGATGAAAAGTGGCATGAATTTAGAACAATATAACTTCCCTGTGCCTTTACCTGCCTTTGCAGATGAGATTTAATAATGGACTGAATGTCAAGAAATACTACAAAGTCTAGGTACTTCATAACTAAAACGCTAGACACGGGCTACGTTGCACGACGGTTACAGTTACAGATTATCAAAACTGCCACAACAGCACCCGGCGAGCGGGGGTCTACGAAGGCGAGTGTGTATAAAGTGAAGAACTGCTTATACTAAACGATGAAAACGACGCGGTACTCTCTCGCGTCACAAAGTGACGGTATAACAGTGATAACGATAAGGAACAAGAACAGGTTCGGCTTTGGCATGTAAACATTTTCCTTTAAAGCCATTACATGAAAGACGCCCTACGTTGACGATGCTGTAACGTGACGTGATGGCGACGAAGGAAGCCGCCAGACATCAAAATCGATAGGCACAAACAAACAGGATGCAGCGCAATTGCGCGAATGCGTAAATAATTCATGAGGCGACTGAATAACCTGTCGACGACGACGTTCACGTAATCTAGATGATGCGACCGTGTTTCTCGACTGAGCTGATAAATAAGGAGGGAAATTAAAATCAGAATAAACTCCTTTCGACTAATGACATGTTCCACAAGCAAATTTCCTACTGCCCTGAAGTTTTGTTCCTTGAACGACGTATTTCGCTTTACATTACAGTTCCTTTATACATATAATGTAGTCAGTGAAAAACAAACATAAATAAAAAACAATATAAAGCCATCTTTATATGGAAATCGTTTCGACGACGACGTAAATTTTAGGACCAATTGTGTGAGAACTGTCAGCCCTTTCAGCATTTTTCTGATCGCGTAAAAGTACAGAACCTACTGCTTCCTTCCACTAGATCGTAACCATACTAGTTAATACCTGACTACGGTGTTACTTTTAATCAAATAATCGCTTAATCACAAAATGTCTGAAATGTTTTCCAATTTATGGTCAGATACAGAAATAAGTCAAGCAGGAAGAACCATAAAAGACGAAATTTTATGTACAACTCTCAATCATTGTTTAATAAAATAGCAATACTTACTGCTTGTGTCTACTTTAGCTTGAGCTCCGGGAGACGTTGCCCAGTTGACTCTCATTTCCTGAAATGCATTAAGTCAGCATACAACAAAAAATTGACCATTACAACAATGAAATGGTGATTTTATTACTGGTAGTAAACAAGAAATAGCGAAACATCGTATTCGTACCTGAAATTTGGACGCTAGAGGATTATAGAATCGCATGTTACTGGCGAGCTGAAAGATCGGCAAACCCTCATAAGCGAACGACAACCGCCCTTTTGCACAGTCGTTCGGTACGAAGGCAGAAACCACCTTGTCCAATTTAGCCATCAACAGTGCCAAACTCTCAAACCACCAAAAACACCAAAATAAAAACTAACCGACCGATGTAAAAGCTTAGAAGAAACCGCAACCGGACCGACCGACCAACCAACTACCCCGCTTCAAAGACCGAACAATGCCAATCGGTGAGAACGGATAGTTACGACGCTCTGCGCCAGCGCACAACCCATCTGCCTACCATCGCCTGTTTAAACAGGTGCCAACACAGCGCGTGCGGCAGCATGGCGATTCTTGTTGATTGCTTGGCACAGTCTACTCCAAACCTACCAACGGACAGTCCGGTCGACTGTAATACAGAGCGCGCGCCGATTCACAAGAATACGTTATTACCAGTTAACGGTCAGCTACTAAACTATTTACTCAGCATCGGGATCATGCGGCTGGTCAATCTATAACGCCGGCGTCAGGTTTGTAATGAAACAAACATTTTAACTTAAATTACAAGATCAGGTCAATTAGTAACTGTACGAATAAAATGTCAGTTTACGTCGATACCTAGAATGGTGACACCTGGGTAAACAAAAAAATTAATTTTTAAGGATTTAGCGGCATCAAACGAGTGAACATTAACAGTGTATCTTATCCAATATCCGCGTAACCTGGAGATAAAGGTAAGCCAAACTTATTCACCCCACTAATGATGGATAAAATGATATCACTCTACTCTGCTTCACCAACAGTTCACTATCTACCACCATTATTCGCAAAAAGCCTGAGATTATGAAT